TCAAAACGGTGGATATGTCACATTGGTCCTTTTGAATAGTTAGGCAAGATTGGTTGTATTCATCTGAACAACGTTTCCAAAGACAGCAACCTTCTATGTATCAGAGCAGTCAAGTTAGAGCAATCAGCAATCAGAAGTCAAATGGTACATAGGAGGCGACCCCGGCGTAGTGGTTAACATCCATTCCTCTCACGCCAAAGTCACGAGTTCAAATCTCACCCCCGGACAAGTCACAAATGACCCAAGAGTGTTAAAATGACTATAATTTAAAAAAAAATGGTACATAAGCGCCGACAATAATGGCTCTAATGTTGACCTATGGACCTAATATTGGACCCATCGCTAAAAATTCGGTATCTACCAATTTAATCTAGATGAAAACGCCATTGGGACGGTACTAATGGATATTTTTGGTCGCTGTTGAAAATTTAGTCAATTGCTTGAAAATATGGGCCCAAATGCATTTAGGCCTACATTACATCCATTTCCCCTATATGAGAATTCTGATCTCAGCTGTCCAGTATACAATAGGTCTGATCCATCTGAATAACTTTATTAAAGACAGCAACCTCCTATTTAGTAACACTGAAAACGAAACTAGCTCAGAGAGTGAGTTACTTTGACTCAGCTGTAAGTTACTTTTACTCATTCGTATGGAGAAATGTTTAAAAGCGTAAGGTCACTCAGCGCATTTCTCCATACGATTGAGTATAAGTGGGTCACTCACTGAATAAGATTCGTTTTCAGTGAATGTAGACTACTTAAGCAAACCTTTAAAACCAAATGACACTAGCGCTGCATGGTGAGTGAATTCTGAACAGAGAGGCCAATCATGCGATAGGTCTTGTCCATCCAGAAAACTTCAGAAACCTGCTTTCTGATCGTGCTGTTTTAAACATGGAATTTGATGCAAATTGCACACAGAGCTGAACCATCCAATCTCGTGTAACATTTCTGGTTTTATGATGGTTCTGTAGACCATGATTTAGACTTGTTAAATGCTTTTTTTCCTTGATTTGTTTTCTGTTGATCTTGTTTTCCATGCTGAGCACCAATGCTACCGACAGCAGGGATGCAGCTCCCACACCTGGACCCTTTCTATCGAACCATCAACGTCCGATGACGTTGACCGGTGCCTGTAATCTATCGAGGAGGCAATATCCCGGGCCAAGGAACAACACGTGCCAGTATCCATACAGGTGTGTAGCACTCTGAACCTTGAAAGCTCTATTAAAGACCTCATTAGACTCCGTAACACAATTCGTAGGTAGTACCAGCGTACTGGTCTGCCTAACTTGAAGACCAATTGTAATCGATTAACAAAGATCATTCAGACCAGGATGGTAGATCTCAGAAACAACGATTTTTCCAATAAGATCCGTTCTCTCTCAGATTGTGCAAAGCCCTTCTATAAACTAACAAAAATCTTTAACAATAAGACAACGCCCATTCAACCACTTGTACCGTTGAATCAACCCAAAGATTCAGTTGCCCATCTGATAACCCCTGAAGAGAAAGCTGATGCTACACTTCGTCAGTTCTCATAATCTCGGATTGAAAATGGCTAGTCCAATTTTTCTGTGGAATCCGAGAATACGACTGACAAACCTATATCAAATCATCTAAAAACATGAAGGCCTCAGGTTTTGACCAAATTCTGGATCTAGAACTCAAACACTTGAGTTCCAGATTCTTCAACCAACTGTCACTGATTTTTAATCAGTGCCTTAGGCTTAGCTTCCCCTCGTACTGGAAGTCAACTAAAGTCATCCGCATCCGGAACCATGAGAAAGACTTGTCCTCTCATTCAAACTACCGACCCATTAGCCTTCGCTCGGAGATATCTAAGCTATCGTCTATAAGGGTAGGGTCATGGGAGCTCTGACCGCCAAACGTCAGAGAGGACTGGATATCCTATCTGATTATTTCAACAGCTGAAAGATCCGTATAAACGTCATCATATTTCCTCATTCCAAATATCCCAAACTTGTTCCGTCTGAGAATAATAAGATCGACTCAAACTGCACAGTGGTGGAATGGTCCAAAGAGGTAGTCTACCTCGGCCCTACACTCGACAGCAAGCTGCTTTTCAGGGAACACGTTGACAAAACGAAAACAAAATGTAACATCCTGATGAGATCCTTCTTCTTCTTCTTCTTCTTCTTGTTCGCATTTCAAAGCTTATTGTTTGCGCATATTAGCTTATTGCGTGCTCTCAACTTCTAAATGCACTTTCACAGTTATTAATTGAGAGCTTACGATGCCAATACCAATGCATGAATTTGTATATTGTGTGGCAAGCACAATGATACTCTATGCCCAGGGAAGTCGAGAAAATTTCCAACCCGAAAGATTCCCTCGACCGGACCGGACCTCCGTACCGGTAATACCGTGCCTTTACTGACCAAGCTATGAGGCCTTGACTTTGAACGTTGATGAATGTTCAATAGTTAACCATTGATAAACAACTACCAACTTTATACTAAACAAATCTTACATTCAATCTCAATAGAATGGTATTTTTAACACTGAATTTCAATCTTAAATGACCATTTTATAAGCGTTCATAATCTGACACTATTTCGTAATACACTTTTTTATTATTTTATTTAAACCCCACTATAGGTTTAGAGGCTAATATTTTCTATAGTCTTCATTGTTTACTGCTCAAAGCAAAACGAAATATTCGGCAAAATTTCGTGGAATTCCGTTTCGAAGTGAAATAAATGGGATAACTCGATATATCGGATGTCCTGATCTACACAGTTAGAACAATTCATGTACATTTAGGTGCTCTGAGAGTGACATATACGAGCGTCAATCTTGACATAAAGCTGAGTCATAACAGACGTGAAATATAGCTCAATCAAACGTACTTTTCATCGAGCAACGAACTATTCATTCTCGGAGTACTTAATATTACACGACATATTTGTATACGTCTCATCTTTTATGTTAACGGCGCCGGTGGTGTAGTGGTAAGTGTGATTACCTCTCACCCCAACAGGCCTGGGTTCAATCCCAGTCGGCGCCGCCGGGATGTTCTGAGGCATAACATCTCTGATCACGCCTTCCTTCGGATGGGAAGTAAAGCCGTTGGTCCCCGGTTCATGAGGTGATGGGTCGATAGGTAGGGTCCAGGTGTGGGAGCTGCCTTCCTGGCACGTCGGTAGCATTGGTGCTCAGCACGGAAAACAAGATCGACGGAAAAAAACAAACCAAAGGATCTTTTATGTCAAAGACGGATTCCGTCACGTGTAAAATTAGTTATTTCTTATTGTGTAGGATAAGCTTCTAAAAGAAGATTCAAGAGAAAAAGTTTCTAATGAAGCTTCTAAACAAGATTCTGAAAGAATCTTCTCTTGGAAGCTCATTCTCATTTTTGGCAATTATGCTGATGGGAATGGATAGAACAGCAACTAATAAAATGTAAACAAACAAACACGTCTCATTAGTGCAAGACGCTGACAAAATGCTAATCGAAGCGTGGACGCTGCTTAGCTTGACGAGAATACGAATTCCCCTACATTATTACCATCAGTCCGCTGTTATGACCACCTCTCACATTTGATTGCTTGAATTGTTTTTGGGACTTGAACCGAACACCTTAGTCATAAATCTTTTTAGTTAGAATTGTTTTATTGCCAATTCAGAGAAAAAATAACATTTGGCATCACCTTTAATAGCATGCTGCGGCTGTCACTTGCGTCGTAATGTTTTCCCTGAAAAGCCAACATAATCTTATTAAAGATTACCGTCCCGTCATGTTTCCCTCGCCTACTATGTCAATATGTCACATTAAATTCAATGTCGATTGATTTATACCCATTCTAGTTGCATCCCATGCAACACAACATCCCAGCACACGAAATGCACCACCGTTCGAATGCACATCTATTCGTGTACTGTTCGGTCCTAGCCGAATCTGAACCCAACAAAGCCGAAGTTTTCTGTTCGTTCGAATTCGGAATGCACTCGAACCTTTCATCCTAGTGTTGGCGTCGTGCTGAACTGGTATTGGTACGCCATGGCTGGGTGGTGGTGATAGTGGAAAATCGAAATGAAAAGCGAAACAAGCGAATGGAACACGGCAAAGAACAAGAAACCCTCGACTGCTCGCCCGTTGCTGCTGAAATGTTGTGCCGTGCCTCCACGTGCGAACAGAATTTCTCACTCTCCCTGTGCGCTTTTCGGCTGCTGCTGCTGCTGCTGCCTACCATGCCATGGATGACTGGCTGGCTGGTTCATTGCTTGACTATGGCTTGTGTTGTGTGCATTCATCATGCCGAATATTGCTGTCGTCGTCGTTACCGCCAACCACGCCACCACCCACCGACGTTGTCGACCGATTCAGTGCGCGTTGATGATGACTCGCCCGTTTCAGGTTGGGAGACATGACTATGGTAGGCAGCCGTGCAGCGACGGGGTTAGAAGCGTTATGTGTAATGTCTGTATGCTGCGTAGTTGTTTTTGCTTTGCTCTCTTATGCTTCGATGGGCACCGGGGCAGCATGCATTAGTTTTGTTCGACGAGTACCGACCTCGTCAAGTGAAGTCTACGGTAGGTAGGCTGGTTTTTGTATTTATGCACTGCGCTCTCCGGCATCGAACATCCTAGGTCGAGTTGGGGAGGGTGATAAAAAATTAACGCTGCGCGTGCAGTGATAATCATATTGTTGTTTGCCGGACCACATTTTTTGGACGGTTTACACCCCCACACCCATCCGAGCAACGTTTACCCACCCGGCAAACCCGGCGATTGTCTTATTTTCGTCGTCGTCTTGCGATTGCTTCGCGTGGCGAGGAGTTCTTTGTTCGGTGGTTTGGTTGCTACAATGAAGCAATATGTGACCGTCAATGATGGAGGCAAGTGATTCAACGAGAAAGCATATTTAAAATGCAAGAGCAAGACGGAAGCGTCTTATCATCACTTTATTTTTATGGAAGTTACAAGATTGGAGTGTAATCAAAAGAATTGGCACACATCTTGATTAAACATACCTTTAATATAAAGTTGATCAGCAAATCATGCCGGATTAGCGAAAATCTGAAAATAAAAGAGAGAAGCAATTCTTGAATTATTTTGGATATTTTTTACTAACGTAAATCAATAGTATATGACGGCAAAATTCTGTATATCATGGTTCAAAACCTGATAAACTAAGCTTGCTTGATAAACTGATATGAAATTCTAAAAAATTTCGTTGGAATCGATTTACTATATGGATAATTTTGCCGGCAGTCAGTCCATTTCCTTGAAAAATAAATGGGCCAAGAAATGACGACGAAAATCCAACCGAATGGTTAATCTTTTAAAATGTGGTTTTAATAGTTTTAGTAGATGTATTTAAAATTCAGGGTGATAAAATTTATTATGTTTCACGTTATATGATATACCTAATGGGGCTTCCCACGTGAGCGTGAGTGGTAGGGGAGATGACAGTGGGATTTTAATTTGTCACGCTCTCAGTTCACGCTAACCAATGTTGGACTTGGAATCGAAGAACACTCCGGTTTTTCTTCCATATTTTAACACTTCGGGCAAAGGGGTGACCTTGCATGTCCAAACGGCTTTAGTTACTTTTTGAAGCAACCGTGTTCAGATAGGAAATGTGTCAGGCGGAAGTTTACACACTTAGAAATGATTACCGACTTCGGTAATTATTACAGCTGAACTGTTCGGTCAAAATCAGGCATTTTAATTTATTAGCTTTAAAGCTTCAAAACAAGGAAAACTTCACCGCAATGGCAAGACTCGATTATTTAAACAAGGCTGACAGTGTTCTGAAATTAAAATTTAGTGAAACAGCTTTTGAAACGAGGGTCAAAGCTTACCGGTAAAAAATTACCGAAGTCGGTAATAATTTCTATGTGTGTACCCACCGACAAACAGACGTAACTCTTCATTCTGGATTATCGTTCACGCGTTTAAAGACTGATTTGAATATTATAATTTCCGCGAACTACTCATCCCAGCGCTGGCATCGGATCACTTTGACGTTTCTACACGCAAACCAAAAAATCATTACATTGACCTTGCAGACGATACAATTATTTTTTTTTATCGTTTTTATTTCGTGTTCTGTCTCAGTCCTGCAAAATCTCGACAATACACGGTGATATTAACAATTTTGCTTGGTCACTCATTTAAGCTAACAGTCATAGTCAAGGTAAACCCTGTCAATTTTCAATGACAATGCTGTCAGTGAAGAACATGTGTAAAAAAAAATTATTAACTAAATTTATAACGAAATTAAATGACTTTAGCAACACAATTACATGGAGCCGTTAAAGTGAACAAGAATTTACGACCTGAACTGCTTGGAGATCATAAATGTGACACAGAATGCACGAAATTACACTAACACTTACCAGGAGAATCTTTGTCATTGACGAAAAAATGAATGATATTTTGACGAAGATTTTTTTGAGGATCCAGTCTATCAGTGACTATGAGAAAAACAATTTTGTCAATATTGTGCGAAAGACTGTCAATGACAATGGCAAATCTCAACACTGTTTTGTCTACGTTTTTGACCAGCAAGCTTTTTATTTATAACATTGAAGTACGACGCACACGCTTGCCTGCATTTTCTCCGATTCCCGTTCAGCAGAAAATTATACGAAATCAAATTATCGTTCTATGAGCACTTCTTATTTGCTTTAAGCCTATCCATGTTCCGAAGCTTGGAGAGAGCAGTGAAAGAAGAACAGGTCTGATAATCGAAACGTCCTAAGTAACTATTCAAGCTGAACAGTAAGAACAGAAGCTGATTATTGGTTGGTTTAAGGTGTACGAAGCTGATTAACACCAGGCTGAATATAAAGTTGATTAGTAGTGCATAAAGTGAATTGTATCCCCGTAATTCAACCTCAGTAAGTTAGTCGATCTAAAGACTGAACAAGACTTATTTAAGCTTAACACTATTCCACAAATCAGCAATGCGCTACAAGTATTTTCATATCCTGATAGAATAATATTAATCGATTGCATAATATTGTTCAATGTCTTCAGGGTTACTTTTGTTTCATTTCCGTAATTTTAGTTCTTCTAAATTCATTGCCTATCTTTTTAATCCAGCGTCAGTAGTAGAGATACTACTCCGGGTAGAAGTAGACTGCGACCACGTCGGAAGTATTAACATTTGTATTCCTGTGTTTTCACTACTTTATACTGTACTTAACACCTTTTCACCACTTTATATTGTACTTAATTTTCAGACCGCATATCAAAACTATAATTCAATTATGGCACTAAAATAGCATCCAAATGAATGTTTACTGTACTTGAAAATGAGAGGGAGAAGGATTACTGTCACCATATATTGTTCACAATTCTGCATTACTGTATAATACTCTTCCGGTTGACGTGCTTCAAGTTAATGATCATACCTTTTGCCACACATATGCTCAAGTGATCCAGTAGATATAGTTGACGCCTGTGAATCAACGACTACCGGTTTGAATCCCAAAATGCAAAGGAAATTTTTAGACAAATAATAACAATATAAGTATATAAATCCAATTAGTCAGCAACAAACATGGTAGAGCTCTTGGCATCATGAAAAATCTGTTATATGAAGCAGTCTTCTATATTTTTGTTAAATAAAACTAGAAGGCTGAACAAGGATTTGAAAAGACTGATATTTAATGCCTTAAAAAGCTTATAATTTATATTACTGTTAAGCCTTCGGCTGCCTTAACCAATTTTAGATGTTTAAAAGCTGAAGAAAGGCTAACGTGGTCAATGTACGACAATTATTCAAACAAAGGCTGAATCAAAATCGTTAAAACAACACTTGTTAAGCATAAAATTGTTACCTGGGTTACTGCAGTCAAAAGGATCCTTATTTTAACTACAAAATATGGTAGCAGCTATCAACACCTCAAGTGACAGAAAGTGCCATAGTTGTTAACTGCGTTGCTTCGAGCTTTTTTAGACAATAAGACGTACTTTTTGAATCATGCCAATATTGGAAGATGTTTATGCATCGTTGCTGCATACATTTGAATTTTAAAATCATGCTATTCTGTCTTTGGTTTATTTCAAGATCATTAAATTGCTTCTTATCATTTGATTACACTGTGCAACACATCTGAACTTTTTTTCCAGGACTGAGAAAGTTGACCATATTTGACTTTCTTGTGGACCCCTGAGTAAAAGTCTTGAACATACATATACCCTAACACGCCCTAATTTGTTGGTACCGCCCTCTTTAAGAATTTTGGTATGTTGTCCCGATGTCGGTTGTATACTGCCTAACTAAAGCATGTTACGACATTGCCGTCCGAAAGTTTTTTGTTTAAAATGACTTGAGAAACATTTTTTTAGAACATTAAAAAACGATATCTCGTTGTCTTACCCCTCGTTTGGGTGAGTACCCCTCTAAAAATCTAGAATTCATGTAAATTCACTGTAGAAAACCATAGTATGTGCTGGTATGTTGAGATTTTCATAAAGTAATTATTTTAACACCTTATAAGAATGAAACCACTCCAAATGCGATGATTTTAATCATACTTTATTGTTATTTTATGCAATTTAAAAATATTATTGGTCTTTCCTGATTCTAAGAATAACACAACTTTCTAGGACTGAGAAAATTAATCATATTTGACTTTCCAATCTAGAACATACTTATATCCTAACACGTCCTTATTTTTTGGTACCACCCTCTTTATGAATTTTGGTATGTTGTCCCGATGATGGTCGTGTGCTGCCTAAACATAACATGTTACGATATTGCTGACGACAACAGTGTTATTATTATTCTAATAATAAACAGCTTTAAATCTGGCATCTTAATATGAATTCCCGTTTCGATTAATATTTTTCATCATAAAATAAAACTTGCTGTTGTTTTTCAATAGGCCCAAACAAATAACATGTTTTTCTATTTTCATTCGAAAGTTTACCTAAACAGTATTGACAGATATGCGTAGAACGGCAGTGAAACCCCAAGAAAATCTAAGATGAATTTTTACTGAAGAAGAAAGGAAGTTTTGAAGTTTAATTCAGATGTGATTCTTCGGAAAATTTATTTGGAATCGTGAGGAGAATAGCAAGAAACATTTAAGTAGAATTCCAAGAGAGTTCGGAAGAGAGTGCAAAAAGAATTATAAGCAGAATTAAAATGGTGTTCTGAGGATAATTTAAAAGGAATACTTAGGAAGGGTTCAGAAAAGAAATTCAAGGGAATTAAAAAAAATAAAGAAGTAGTATTCTGAGAATAATTCAACAAACAAATTGGAGGAGAATTTAAAAGAAATTCTTAAGAAAAGTTTAAAGAAAATTTAGCAAACAAGTCCAAGGGGCTCCTGAGGAGAATCCCGAAGGATTTGTAATGAGAGTTTTGAGCTCAAAAAAATGCTGCAAAGAATTTAAAAGGAATCTTATTTTCATAAAAGTTGCAAAGGTTTTTTTTATGAAGGATTCCAAAGTAATGATTAAAGAGTTTTAATGGTATTCCAATGCGACTTCCAAGTAGAGTTCCGAAAGAAGTTTCTGGTTAGATTATAGAGAATTCCGTAATATTTCTTTATATGTTTTATTGATATTTTTGACATATCATGTGAACAACACAATGTAGAAGAGCAAAACACTAATAAACATTAACCTCCAAATTTGAAAATTGTTTAACATTGATGCCATGTTTAGTCTAAAGAGCTGCAGAATTTTTGTTCGTACTCAGAGCGAACGTAATGCTTTGGTATTTTAGTAGTTTTGTTAATTGTATGTGAACCATCCTAACCGGTTTTCTTATCCATATGACATCCTACTAACCCCAATCCGACCACGGGAAATCGGTCTTCCGAACGGTGATGCCATATTATTTTGAATTTCAATCTGTATTTTAATCGCAAAATATCTTTTTAATCTGCATCTGGCTGACAAAAATCTGTAAAAAAAATCTGTTTAATTTATTTAATATGGTCTCAATGAGGATTTTTATAAATCTTAATTGAGTTCATTCGTAGTTCAGAAGCAATTTGTTCAATGTTGCTTTCTTTTTGTTTTAATCACAAAATCCTACAATTTTGATTTAT